AGCATAAGCTTTCGTGGACTACAGCCCACTTCTTCGGATGCATCTAATAAATTTGTTAGTCTCTAAGGTGCCACAAGTACTCCTGTTCTTCTTTTTGCGGATACAGACTAACACGGCTGTTACTCTGAAACTGGACAAAGGGAGATGGGGAGAGAGCCTGCTGGAGGGGTTTTTGGTTTCAGTTTTGGGCTGGCTGGGAAGAGGCAGGGAACCCCAAGATCCTTGCCCCCCAGAGGGACCTGGCAGAGGGGTCCTGGTTGTACCTACAAGCCCTGCTTGGGACTGTGTTCCTGTTGTCTAATAAACCTTTTGATTTACTGGCTGGCTGAGAGTCACGGTGAATCGCAGGAAATGGGGGTAGGGCGACCAGACAGCAAATATGAAAATCGGGACTGGGGGTAGGGGGTAATAGGAGCCTATATAAGAAAAAGACCCCAAAATCGGGACTGTCCCTATAAAATTGGGACATCTGGTCACCCTAAGTGGGGGGTGCAGGGCCCTGACTCCCCCACACTCCGTGACACCTTGATCTTGATGTTGTCTTCAATACAATTTATATTTTCTTTTCCTTGCAAATTAGTATCAACTGGCAAATCAAATGCTTAAGAATAAAAGAGTTCAGCAAGCAGCATACAAAGAATCCAAGTGGAAACAACGGAAGCCCACAATAAAGTCCAGGGATCAAATCCTGGCCCCGCTGAAGTCAATGGCAACACCCTAGAAGATTACAAAATACAGTGTAAGTTCTAGCAAGAAAATGTTAGGTGCTGAAATAGATCCAAACAAGACTTCAGAAACAACCCACTAGTACATGAAGAGAAGGAAACTCAGCAAGGAAGTTATAATGTGAGACTTCCCATGATCTTGAAAAGACATAAGAGGACCTAAAATACAACATTTAGAAGATACAGAAGAGGATGCAAAACCCACCTGAAAGGGAAAGGGACAATTTATGGGAAAAACCTACACAAAATACATAGTACATCAGTCCCAGCTTCCTTTGATTGACTGACTATAGCC